CAACCTTAACACCAACAAGCCTACTAGGTGCAAGGCCCCGCCCCCAGGCCTGGGATTGGCCTTGTCTTGGATAGGCTCCGCCCAGCCCCCCCGCCTCTATGCTAATAATTCTAACAGGAACCTCCCCGGGCCTATTTGCATACGTCAATCATTATGAGGCCCAGCCCCCAAGCCTGACCTCGGGACCAAAGCTGCATGCACCCCCGGCTTAGCGCTGAAAGCCTGAGCTCCACCTCGTTCCCCGCTCAGTCACTCGTCCAGACCTTGGGCTCACCTCTGTCATCTGTCGTCCAATCCACTTCCACGACCACCCCCCCCAGTCTCAAGCCGGCCCCTGACTTTCTCGCCCCTCCCTAGATCCCGCCCCTTGGTTAGGCCTCCAGCTCCGCCCACAAACGCTGTTTTAAAATTGGTCCCGCCCCCTAAAGTAAGACCCGCCCACACGCTCTACCCTCCCGGTCCGAGCTAGGCCACGCCCCCAACCCCTGGCGGATAGTTAGCCCTAGAGCCGAGGCACCGTCGCCACCCCCGAAAGAGCGCAACACAGTTGCCTCGCAGCCTCAGCACCGCCTCCTACCTGGCTCGCTGTTAGCGCCTCTTCACGTACTGCACTGCAGGCCCCTTCCGGAGGCCCGCGACCATAAAGAGCACCCGCCTGGGGCCAGAGGGCCGACGGCCAACGAGACGCGGGGCTAGAACGGCCCGCGAGGATGGCCGCTGTCTCCAGGGCAACCAGGCCTCAGCTGCCTCCCCCGAGCTGGTGGAGGGAGCACGTGGGTTCCGAGGGGCGTGGCCCTGGGGCGCAGGCCCTAAAAGGCACGCGAGCTCGCAGCCCCTACCCACCGAAGCCTGAGTTGGGTTTCTTCCCCGTCCTGTCCTGAAGCAAAGCCCCGAAGCCTCTCGGGCTTAAACACCCCCTCGGCGGTTTGGGAAACCTAAACTTCACCCTAGGGGCCCCCGCGGGTGCTGGATCTGAACCCCGCCTCCTCTCAAACCTGTCTGCCCGGACCCACCCGGTGTCCATCACGGCGCTACGCAGCCAGCCGGACAGCGTCACCCCCGGGAGCAGGGCCTTCCCAGCACCCACAGGAGACCGGGCGAGGCCGCGTCTCACCCCAGGGCCCTCGGACCAGGCTCGGGACTGACCTGAGTGCTGCAACCACTGGGCTTGGACGCGCAGGCAGTAGGCCGAGGCAGGAAGGGGCCCTCAAACCCAGCCCGAGCTGAGGTTCCCCACAGCGGCTCTGTCCTGACGGTGCTCAGGCTGCCTCGGGCCCTCGCAACCCCTCTGCCCTTCCCACTCGGCCCGGGCTCTGCCCGCTTGCTTGGCGGACAGGGCCGGGCGTGTCACCCACCCCACCCCCAGCTGCCATTGGTCCCCACCACGGCGGGGGTGGGGGCGGACAGGCCCAGAGCCAGCCTGGCCTGCGCTGCCTCCTCAGGCTGGGGAGCAGCCATGCCAGTCAGCACAGCTGCGCTCTTGTCCTGTGGCTCTATTTCGGTCACCCCACCTTTCAGTAAAAAACCCGAGGGCAGAGCTTATGCAGCTGGCACTCCAGGAGGCTGAAGCAGGAGAGTGGCAAGAGAAGCCAAGCCCGGGCAGCTGAAGGACAGCTCTCGCCTGTGTGGGGAGGGTTGCCTCTGGGCGTAGGGTGCACACCCGTAATCCCAGCTGCTCGGGAGGCTAAGGCAGGAGGAGCACGTGTTACAGACCAGCCTGGCAACCCGGTGAGACCCCATCTGAAAGTCAGAATTCCCAACTGTAGGTATAACGTCCCCGAGACCTCGGACACGGGACCGAAGTCCTGCTCTTCAACAGGACAGCGGGCAGCACGGGCTCCGGGAGTGCAGAGTGGCCTCGGTCCCCTGTGCACTGGGCCCCAGTGAGTCACGATGCAGCCAGGCCCCTCCCGGCCTCCGTGGCTGCAGCTAAAACCCTCCTGCCTCAGCCTCCTGAGTGCTGGGATTACAGGCCTCACCACCACAGCCAGCGCTTTTGTCTCTCATTAAAGACAACTGTTGTTGGATTTAAGACTCTCCCCGATAGTCCAGGGGGTCTGACCTGGGACCCTCAGCTGATGGACACCTGCAATTCCCCTTTCCCAAAGCAGGTCCCTCCACACGTTCTGGGGGTCAGGGCACGGACTCATCTTTTAGGGGGCCACCGCTCGCCCCCAAAGGCTTAGCTCTATCGGTGTCTGCCCGAGAGGGACGCATCCTGCCCCAGGGCCCTGGCCCTTACCCACCTCTCACACCCCCTCCATTCTGCCGCCGTCTGGGTCTCGTGTGGCGGTTGCTGCTGCCCTCTAGTGGAGGCACTGGGCACCACGAACCGTCCAGTTGAAGCGGCGAGGGCAGCGAGCAATCCGGCTCCGCGATGGGACCTGGACGGATGACAGCCGAGGTCCGGCGAGACTCAGCTAGCTCCGCAGCCCGAGGCTCGGGGCTTCTGGCAACGTGGATAAAACGGCACCTTGGAAAAGGGCCCGCGGACTCTGGCTCCTCCCCAAAGAGGCTTCTCTGCGCCTGAGATTACACTTGGCCCCGGGGGTCTGCGGGCAGAGGAGCAAAAGGATGTGAGAAAAACAATGTGGCCACAAGTGTGGTGGATCCCCACCATCCCAGCACTCCGGCAGGCTGAAGCAGGAGGATCGCAAATCTGAGCCCAGCCTGGGCCTTTTAGCAAGACCCTGCCTCACAATCAAAAGGGCTGTGGTCGTGCCCCAGTGTGAAGGCCCTAGGCTCCAGCCCCGGTCCAGGCGGAATCTGCACTGCATGCCTTGCTACACTTCTGTCCTTGGTCCCTGGACAACGCGGCTGCGTAACTTTCTTTAGGCAGCGTTCACACCGTACCAGGCTCAGGGCGCCTGCGGGGGGTGGGTGCGCATAGGTTCCGTGCAGATCCTGCCCCAGTTTACCAAAGGGGTGTGACGTCTGTGATTTAAGGGCCCAAGAGTCCTGTGTCCCTGAATACCGCGGGTTATCTGTATTTCGCCCAGTAACTTCTTTCTTTTTCTCTTTTTGAGACAGGGTGTCGCTATGTAATCCGGGCTGGCATGGAACTCGTGGCGATCCTCCTGCCTCAGCCTCCCGAAAGCTGAGGCCACCACGAGAGGACGCTCCGGTGTCTTCGTGACCCACCAGCAGCCCCCACAGGCTGCCCTGGGCCCCAGAGCCAGGTCAGGGCCGGGATTAGCGGTTCTAAGCCGGCTTCCCGGCGGCCCGGCCATGGCGTCCCTGTTCTCCGGCCGCGTCCTGGTCCGCAACAACAGCGAGCAGGACCTGGTGGAGACGGAGGCC